CTATTTTAAATATAGTAAGCTAAATATATTTAAAGTAAAATAATAGAAGGAGGGAAAGGAGGGTTTCTTGGAGGTCCAGGTAGAAGACTCCATGCTTCTACTACAGGGGAACATGAGTTCGATCCCTGGTTAGGGAAATAAGATCCAACATGCTGCACAGTGTGACCAAAAGAAAGAAAGTAAAAAGGAAAAGGATGGTAATGCTCATCAAAGGAAAGCTACAGTGGCTGTAACAAACAAAGTTTGTGTTAAATTACTAACAAACAAAGTTTGTTTAAGTTACAGAGAAAAGTATATTGTGGTTTAGTTGCTAAGTCATGTCTGACAGTTGAGACCCCAAGGACTGTAGCCTGTCAAGCTCCTCTGTCCATGGGATTTCCCAGGCAAGAATACTGGAGTGGGTTGCCATTTCCTTCTCCAGGGGATCTTCCCAACCCAGGAATTGAATCCAGGACTCTTGCAGGCAGATTCTTTACCAACTGAGCTACAAGAGAAGCCCAAAAATTATATTACTAGAGATAAATAGGATCATTCCATGATCGTAAAGTAGCCAATTCATTGAGAAAACAGACCAATTCTAAATGTTTAGTCATCTAATAATAAAGATTTAAAGTACATGAGGGAAATTTGATAGACTATCATTAGAAATAGAAAATTGCACAGTTATAGCCAAACATTTCTATATCCCTCTTTCAATAAGTGATAAAGTTGAGAAAAAAACAACAGAAGACTTGAACAATACTATCAACTGATTTGAGGTAATTGTTATTTCAATAACAGGATGAAAATTGTATTCAATGGCATACATAACATTTACTAATATAGACCATATTCTGAGCCATAAAACAAATTTCAAAAAATTCACATTTCAGATCATATGAAGTAAGGTCTCTGACCCCAATGAAATTGAATTTGAAATAAATAAGAGCAAGAAGTCTCCAAATATTTGGAAACTAAATAACACTCTCCTAAATAACACGTGGGTCAAAGAAAAAATTAAAAATGAAATTATAACATAAAACTGAATGAAAATGCATTTTCATTTGCAGAGGGGGAAATATATGGAACAAAACACTAAAAATGTTAACAAGCCGAAGTAACTAGAACCTGTGCTCCTCAATAAGAGAAGCCACTGCAGTGAGAAGCCCGTGCACCGCAATGAAGAGTAGCTCTTGCTCATTGCAACTAGAGAAAGCCCTGGCACAGCAAGAAGACTCAGCATAGTTAAAAACAAAACAAAATAAAATGTTATCAAATCAGTGACCTCAGCTTGTCCTTAAAGAAACTAGAAAAAAAGAAGAGCAAATTATTTTTTTTTCAGAAGAGCAAATTATATGCAAAGATTTATAGTTTATTCCAAAAGCATAAGGTTGGCTTAACATTCACCACTGAGGAAAATTAGACCTAAATAAATGGAGAGATATGCTATGATCAGGGGTCAGAAGAGTCAACATTGTTAAGATTTCAATTCTCCCCAAACTGATATACAAATTCAATACATTCCCAGTCAAAATACCAGTAGACATTTTTCCCCCAATAGAATTTGACAGATTGATTCTAAATTTCCTATGGAAAAGCAAGGGAGAAAGTAGTGTGAACAAAGACAATTTTTAGGTTACGAATGTTTAAGTATTGAGAGAAATGCCCAAGAAGAGGATGAAGAGTTAAAAGGCAGATGTGAGAGAAGCTGGGCACAGCTGAAAAACTACAAAGTTGAGGAACTAAAACTATATGATTTCAAGAATTATGAAACTTCAGTAATCAAGACACTGTGGTAGTGGCATAAAGATACTTAAATAGTCAAGAGAATAGACTGGAGACTCTGTTAACTCACACATATATGGTCAATTGATTTTCAAAAAGGTGCAAACGCAATTTAATGGAGAGAGTAGTCTTTTCAACAAACAGAGCTAGAATAATTGTTTTTAAAAAAGAATTTCTATCCATATCTGATATGATCTACAAAGATTAAGACAAAATGGATCATAGACCTAAATATAAAATCTAAAAGTATAAAACTCCTAGAAAAACACAAAAGAAAAAATGCACTGTCTTTGGATTTATCTTGACCAATAAACCCCTCTTCTATGAAGTGTTCAGGGTAAAGAAAAGGAGCTAGAAGTCAATCACATTTCTTCTTGTTAATAACTATTTGATAAAAGCTCAGTAGACAACAAATGAAAGCTATCGACTAAAATTAGATATCAATATTAGCTATAGACTAATTTTTCTCTCACACTCAGTAACATATGTGATTCATTTCTTAAAAAGCTTGATTAACTCTGATATGAAATTGAAAGTGATTAATATAGAATTGGAGCTTGTGGGGACTTCCCTGGTGATAGAGTGGACAAGAATCCACCTGCCAATGCAAGGGACACGGGTTTGATCCCTGGTCTGGGAGATTCCACATGCTGCAGAGCAACTAAGCCCATGTGCCAATTACCGAGCCCGAGTTCTAGAGCCAGGAGCTGCAACTAATGTGCCCTCGTGCCATAGTTACTGAAACTTTGTGCTGCAAACATTGAATCCCTGCACCTGGAGCCTGCGCTCTGCAACGAGAGAGGCCACCTAAATGAGAAATCTGTGCACTGAAATGAAGAGTAGCCCCCTCCCGCTGCAACTAGAGAGAGAGCCTGCATGCAGAAATGAAGACCAACCAAATGAAGCTCAACCAAAAATAATGAATAAATAAATCATTTTAAAAAAAAGAATTGGAACTTGTTATCCAGAGTCTGGCTCTAGGTGAGTGATCACACCATCATGATTATCTGGGTCGTGAAGATCTTTTTTGTACACTTCTGTGTATTTTTGCCACCTCTTCTTAATATCTTCTGCTTCTGTTAGGTCCATACCATTTCTGTCCTTTATTGAGCCCATCTTTGCATGAAATGTTCCCTTGGTATCTCTAATTTTCTTGAAGAGATCTCTAGTCTTTCCCATTCT